ATATGCTCTCCTTGCCTCATCCCTAATGTCATGATAAAAATCATAAATTGGCTTCCTGTCTCCTGGATCAACAACTATATCTCTCATATCAAGTTCAATCCGTGGTCTTTTTTGCTCAACCCGGCTTTCAACTATAGGGCTACAAGTCGATGTGACATGAACATCTAGTGCAGATGTGGATGTTAGGGCAGCAGGAGCGTTGGGCAAGCCCTAACTGACGATCCACCGGCTGGATTGCAAAGGGCAGAAAAAGCCGGCTGATGAGTGATGAGACGAGCACCACTTGTGCACTGCAACCGAGAGGCTTTTCAGCTTGCTTCCGTTGGGCAGCTTGTTGACGACGGTAAAGTAAAACCGTGGAGAACGCATTGGCCTGTTTGGATATTTTATTAGTTCTACGCTTCAAGCATGCTGATTTTTACTAGTAACTATTAGCAACGTTTACCTTGCTGATATTATATGCTAGGGAGATGCTAGCATCCACTGGAGCCCACGATGCGTCCGGACGCAGCTTCCACCAGCCAACTATTAAATGATTCCATCAACCGTGGCGCGTCGGCACACTAACGGGAGGAGTCCGATCTCAGGCTGCTCGTAGTAACAAAACAACGAAACGGTATCCCTGTCCTGCCTGCATAACAGAGAAGGGGAGAGAGTGCGCTCATGTCCGCGCCGCCATCTCCCAGCGCACCCCCTCCACCAGCCCCCGCCGTGCCCCCTTCACAGTTTGAGAATGATGCAAGGCAGCAGCAGGAGAGGAGGAGACACCAAGGCGAGGAGGAAGATGCAACACCCGATCTAGTTTTGAAACATCCAAATACAACACTTGCAACACACGTACGAAGATAGATGAAACACTTAAAACATGCGTCTGAAACACTTGCAAAAACACCTAAAAGAACACTTGAAGCCATTGCAGACATATGCAAAATCTAGATAAAACACTTGCAACATATGTGTGAAACATATGTAACATCCAGATAAACACTCTTGCAACATACGTCTCAAAAAAATAGATGAAACACCGGGAACAGACGCGTTTGCAACATACATGTACAACCATTACAACATATGCAACATCCCGATTTATTTTATAACACTATTCATATAAAACACTTGCAACACACCTATGAAACAGCTGCAACACTTGAAACATGCGCTTTCAAGCGCAACATCTACTTGCTTCTTACGAAATAGAGGCTTGCGGGCGCGTGGAGTTCACCGGAGGTAGCCGTGCCATCGCCACCATTGACTAGATCAACTCTACCGACCACAAGGCCGGCGGGGACCCCTTCGTGGTCGTTGGTAGCCTGTGCTCCATGCAGGACACGCAGCTCCTGTAGCCAGCGCCGCAGTCCCCGTCACCACCACCGGATCTCTCATTGTGCAGTGGATCTGGTGGAAGGAGCAGCTAGGCAGAGTGGGGCGAGAGAGAGAAGGGATGTTAATTGCTTGTCGCTCCCGGTCGGAGATGGAGCAAAACGGCCGGGGGTGGAGGGGGAGCAAGTCGAGCGCTGGTGTAGGCCACAGTGGAGAGGGAGGAAGCCGGCTGGCACCGGATGGACGATGAGGCTAGAACTCGAGCTCGAGCGGCGTTCGGCGAACAACGAGAAAGAACACATATGAATGACTAATGTGAAGATTTGGAGTATTTTTTTAGAAAGGTGTGGAGATTGGGAGTGGGGGGAGACATGGGAGGTTATTTGGCTGTTTGAGCCCAGCCATATTGCGTCTGAAAATTAATGCCGTCCGAATGCTCGTATCAATTGCGATATGCTAACAGATGAATATTGGTGAAAACGTAAGCTATTATTGCCCTGTCCCCTGTTCGGATTCATCCTTACTAATTCTAGCATATTAGCTATTAGCATTAAGAATCTAAATAAATAGACCCTAGTCGTTTTTACATTGGCCGATTGCTTTGTGGAACAGCAACGTCGAAGGATTTCACTTGCACAAGTAGGTCATCATACACTCAAAAAGAAAAGGTAAATCATCGCCCGTACTTACTTTGTGCTGGATGCTAGTTTAATTAAGTGCAAACTCTAATACGTGACAGTCGCGCACTCGCCAGAGGCTGGTTAAGGTTTTGCTGCCTCCCCCGCCAGCGGCCATGGGAGGTGACGGCAGATGGGCACGTGGGAGCGTGACTGGTCACTTGATAACCCGTGTGTGAGGAACCGCAAGAACTGGTTTCTCACCAGAGCATTCGCAACGGTTTGCTTATGAGAAACCAATTTTTAAAGCAGTTTGTTTTTAAAAATAATAAATGGATAATCTTTAAAACTTACTTATTAAAAGCAATCCTTTTTTATTGATTTCCACTGCTTTAAAATAGTGCAGAAGCCAGTGGAAACCCAAGCAAACTGGACCGTAGTATGTTTTAGCCCACTACACTGTGTGCAAAATTGGGCTTCTAGGGCCAGCAGTTATTGCAAATATTGGCCCAAGACGTCCACGTACCACGAGTGTGGCCTTTTGCCTTTCTTTGGCCTAAACACGTCAGCACATGTCGGTCAACACGGCACTCATACTTCAGCCTGTTCCTTTCGGCTGAATTGGCTTATAAGCCATGACTAAAAGTACTGCTGGCTGATTTGGTGTGAGAGAAAAATATTGTTTAAGCCGTGGATTATAAGCTAGATACGAGCGAATAAGCCGAAACTGAAACACGTGGTTTGTTTCCCTAATTAACATAACATGGTTGGTTTGCTTTCTTAGAAATCGTTCACTGTTTTTTAGCAATCATGCATGTTTGATTCATTGATTCTGCATCAAATAAAAAGATTGGGTAACGCTTTTGTAAGGAGAAGTATACATTATTGTTTAATACTATCTCAATTTCAAATTATAAGATGTTTTGACTTTTTCGATGAATTTTATTATACACCTAGACATAACGTATATTTAATTACATATTAGAAGTTATGCGCCTAGAAAATACAGAATGTCTCATAATTTAGAACGGAGTGAGTGTAGTACCATAGTACAAATGAGTTGATGGTCGCTCAACTTAATTTGCTCCTTGAACCGGTGGGCGTTGAGATGTAACCCAGCCAGCTATGTGTCGCAGAGAATGCTTGGGAACTCAGAATTGATAACAATAATGCAGAAAAAAGATACTCCCTCCGTTCTAAATTATAAGTCGTTTTGATTTTTTTAGTTAAAGCGACTTATGATTTGGAACGGATGGAGTAATAATTAAGGCAATATTTAGTACAGTTTCCGATAGCTTCAAATCCTTCTAACAAACACTACAACATTATTGTTTGGAATTGTACAGCGGAGCTGTTCCAGGTTTTGAGGTGGAAATGAACCGCGAGAAGGCTGAAGTGGACGAAGCCACAATTTTGAGCTCCATCAGCTCTGCTTCTGTCGTTCCATATTACTTGCATTATACTCCATCCGTTCTAAGTTATAAGTCGCTTTGATTTTTTGGGTTCATCCATTTTACTATGTATTTAGACATATTATAATATCTAGATGCATAACAAAATGGATGTATAAAAAAATCAAAGCGATTTATAATTTAGAATGGAGAGTACATTGTATCTACAACTGCACAGCCGGAGATACTGGGAGTTGCACCAAACGACCCCATAAGTCTCTACTATCTACAACTGCACAGCCGGAGATTTGCTCAATAGCAAGCATATATACTAGTTCTTCTAAGCACCAAACGATCCCATAAGTCTAAAAAAGTCGTCAAGTCGACTTTGATTTGAGAAAAATGTGCTTTTTAAAAAATCCATGCAGTGCGGGTTTTTTTGATAAATTTTTTGCAAAAAATCAGCTCATCCGCTCGATTGCGGGTTGATTTGAAAATTATATGAGGTGTTATTTGCAAAATATTCGAGAGGGCCTCTCGAGAATTTCCAGGGGTTTTTCAAAAATGATTTTGAATCAATGGCGTGCCGTGGCCAGTGCATAGGTTCTGTTTGATTCTTTAGATGCTTTGAAATGATTTTGACAGTGTATAGGTTCTGTTTGGTTCAGCTGTGAGCAGAAGCGGACCTAGAGCTTTATATAAGCCCGAGCAGATCTAATGGCTAAGTATGAGGTTAAACGTAATCTCTTAAGTATATAGGAGAACTGAGGCTGATGAGCCCGGGTGGTAGCCTAGGGTCGCCGTACCCTGGGTCCGCCAGTAGCTGTGAGCTATGAAAAAATTATTGTGACCTATGTGATGTGAAAAAGTTGTAAGCTATTTGGTTAAAATAACTATGAAACATACCCCTCTCCATATTGCTTGAAATTAATGGTTGCAAAAGGTCTCTACTTCCACTCATTTGGAAAAGAAAAAGGCTAAGAGCCAATAGCAGGATCCAAGATGTTACAAAAAATATACTACGTCGAAAGCAATTGCTTCTAAGAAAGTAGCGTTAAATTTCACCTATTTTGTGGTGTTCCATTTTTTGGTAGCATAAACACTTTATTATATATAGAAGCTGAACTAAACATAGCTTCAAACTTCATGAAGCACATCAGAGTCGATAGACGACGAGATCTGTTTGCAGTAGTTTGCCCATTTTTCTTAGAGAAGAATTGAAACGAACCAATGTTAGGGTCCACACAGCATGCCCCTACGTGTGACAATCGGGAAGTAATCATAACCAAATCATGGCCACGACAGCAAACTGAGATGTGCGTCGTCTTTGCGTCTTCATTGGACATTGGTGACTAGCTTTTTTAAATCAAATGCAAAAAGGAAAGCATTGGACATTGATTTACGTAATATTTGTACTTTTAACATGAAATCAAATGCAAAAGTTTACTATAATTGATTTAGCATGGTAATTATCGTAACTATATATATATATATATATATATATATATATATATATATATATATATATATATATATATATATACCATCATCTTGGATGGGCGCCTTGTCACTCAATATAATCTCATCCGCTAACTATATACTTGTACACGTACACTATTATGTACTCCGTATGTATCTATAGACATGTCGCGCTATATATATACTTTTACCATCATTCCCACAAGGGGAGATACATGTAGTCAGCAGAACCTTCCGCGCAGCAGCAGTAGTAGTACAGGTGATCAACCGTCGTGTCACACCCCAGAACGCCACCACCCTCGTACCCATTATTAGTGTACACACACCAACCCTCTGCCTCATCATGCCCAGCTAAGAACGATGATGCACCCTCGTAGTCGTAGCCATCCATGTCATCCGAGAACACATCCTCAATCCTTTCCAGACCCTCACCACCATCATCAGCCATCATCACCGCCGGCTCGTCGCCGCCGATCTCCGCCTCGAGGGACCGAATGACATGGCTCAGCTGGCGATGATCAACGTCGCCATCGAGCAGCAAATCGGAGGAGGCGGGCAGGTCCTCCATCAGGAGCGCCCCGACGACCTCGCACACGCCTGTCACGGCCTGATCGAGGTCGGCGTGGTAGCTCTCTGCAATGGCGAAGCCGCCGCCCTCTCTCTGCTGGTTCCACGGCTGCTCCATACACGTATAATACGACTAGCAGGCAGCCAATGCAAGCGGGGAAAGAAATGGAACAGCTAGCTAGCAGTAGTGCACACGATTGCAATTTGCAAGTGGTTTGGAATAATGTGGGGAGCTGCTGGCTGGCTGGCTGAGCGAGTGCCTTGTTAGCCTGGTGGTGGGAAATGGTGCAGGGAGGCGGACGCTTATATAGGCCGGTTTCTGGAACCGGAAGTGCAAATACAATAAAAAATAAAGTAGTAATTAATATAAATCAGGCGCCAGCAGGTTGCTTCCAATGTGCAGTGCAGCAGTTGGAAGGGAATTGTTGGGTGACTGATTAGGCTTCTACTAGGAGCAATCGATTAGTTGCTGAACAATCTTCGATTTAGTACTACTATATACAGCTAGAAGAAGAATAGAGTATTGGACAAGTGGAGGCGGCTGTACCTGTTTTCCAGGCAATGCAAGCAGAGCAAATCAAGCATGCGAATGCGAATGCGAATGGAAACCGGTGGCCGGCCGGCGGAACAGGTAAAGGCCGGTTTCTGAGCCTGAGGTGGGAGAAAGCGACGGTGCAGTGCATGATGGATGGATTGGGCGGCCAGCGGTGGACAAGATCCGGCAGGGCCGGCATTATTGATATCTTGTGCTCTCGTCGACGTTTGCAGCCAGCGTGCGGTGCGTACCGGATTGCGGATTATATGTGTGTGATGATGCTGATCGACTCGGACTGCCGTGTGGTGTGATCGCGATCCATATATATAATAATTCCTATATGACTATTCGATGATCTCTCCAATGCATGACGCAACAGATTTTGTTCTTTAGGCGATCGATCGGATGCCACGCCGTTCTCACGGCCCCTCTGTATTAAAACTCCAGGGCGATCAAATCTTTTTGCGGTTCGGTAATGCTGGGACTGAGACCTCCGTCCGCCCCGGAGGCCCTGTCGGACCAGACGTCCAGAAGCTGCTCTTTCTATACGCTCCCTCCACTCCCTTCCGATCACCGCAGATTAAAACATGCATCTGTTCCGCGATGGGCTTCGCCGTGGCTCCTGCACTCCTCCCTCTCTACCGTGCCTCTTGCCGGTCTTCCTCTCCACCGCTGTCGCGTCCGCACCGACCGCATCACAGCGTGCTCGCCGCGCGAGGCTGCACCACCCGACTACTGTTGTCACCTCCACCGCGGGCATCGCGTGCACCCTATCATCGGGGGCAGCATAGCCGCCGCCGCTGTCATCTTCCTTCTCTACCGCCACCGCACAGCCGGAATCCCGCTATGCCATGCTTCGCTCGCCTGATTGCCATGTTTTGCTAAAAGCGTATGTTGTAAGCGTATGTTTCGAGTGTTTCAGATGTTGCAAGTGTTTGAGATGGATGTTGCAAAAGTAGTTCGGGATGTTGCATATGTTGCAATGGTTGTACATGTATGTTGCAAAGATCTGTTACCAATGTTTCACCTGTGTTTTTCAGACGCATGTTGCAAGTATGTTTATTTGGATGTTGCATATGTTTCACACATACGTTGCGGTGTTTCATCTGGATGTTGCGTATGGTTGCAATGGTTTTCAAGTGTTTTCAGGTGTTTTTTGTTTTGAAAGCATGTTTTAAGTGTTTCATCTACTTTCAGACGTATGTTCCAACTGTTGTATTTGGATGTTTCGAAAGCAGATCGGATGTTGCATCTCTCCTCCTCGCCTTCTGCTATATCGTCTCGGTGTGTCCTTCTCCTGACGTCGGTAGGGCATCCATACGACGCCGCGGTCGGGTCCTTTCGAATCGGAGGCACCGCCCCTTCCCCTCTTGTCGCTCGGGCAGCGTGGGCCCCTCGTGGAGCGCGTGAAACGGAGTGCAGCGCGCGGGCATCCGTCCGGACGTCCAGGCACTAGCACCGCCGTTTGCAGTTTGCTGGTCTCCGTTGTCAACTTCTCACATGTCCATTCTCACAAAAAAAAAAACTTCTCACGTGTCCATGTGTTACACAAAACCTTAAGTCGTTTTGATTTTTTTACATAGATTGTGCTATGTATCTAGTTATACGTTATATGTAGATACATAGTAAAAATTGATGTACCAAAAAATTAAAACGACTTATAATTTAGAACAAAATAAGTGCATTTTAGATTTGGATTTTGAAGTTTGTTAGAGCGAGTTGTTTTTACTCATTTGAATGACGGGTTGTGAGTCCAGATCCTATACGGGACACTGAGCGCATACATAGGGAACATGAGAGCATTTTGGAAAGTAAAAAAGATGGAAGAAGAAATTTTGCCCATTTAACATTATGTATTAGGTATAGAGACATAGATACTAGCGAGCATTGCTCCCTAAAGGATTTCTAGAGGCCGGCAGTGAGCAGCAGGCCCAACCGCCTCTACCTTTCCATTTACAAATAGAGACGGCTCTAAAAATCGATTTATAGAGGTGGTTGGAAACACGAGCTGCCTCTACAAACCGATTTCTAGAGATGCCTCAAAATCTAGCCATCCATAGAAATCATTTTTCAAAATTTTGAAATGAATATTCTGGGCTCTAAACAAATTTAATGAAAAAAGGTTTCAACTGGAAAGTTATAGATATCGTCGAGTACTACAACTTTGGTTTGCACTGTTTCTCCATTTGAGGTCATTTGAAAATTTTGAATTTCAAAATCTAAGACTCAAACTGAATTTTGGGACCATATATTATTTCAAATGAAAAGATTATCAACAACAATGTTTTAGATCTGTTCGAGATCTTAACTTTGGTTTTGGTCATTTCTACATCAAGTTGTTTAAAAAGTTTCAAGAAGTTGAAGAACAAAATTGTGAGAACTTCAAACATAACTGTGAAAACTTCAAACATAATTTGAGGGATCTACATAATTTCAAATGAAATAGTCGTGATATACAACTTTGATATAAGGTTTATCTTCACCCAACTTCATTTGAAAAGCTGATGAGTTTTACTATGCTACACCTATTTTTAGAGAAAGCTCTAGATACAACCGCCTCTACCAATTGATTTCTAGATATTGCTTAAGATCCAGCCGACTCTAAAGATAGGGGGTGTTTTTAGAAATAGTTGAAAATACCAGCCTCTATATTGTAGCAACATTGTTCATGTGAGCTGATTTTCTCTCTCTCTCCCTCTCACAGAGTCACCAGGAGCCGGTGAACTGGTGAAGCCATGTTTTCCAGCTCTACCGATTCCCGGTGGCTATGTGAGAGGAAGAGTGATGAGAGAGAAAATCAGCTCCTATGAACCGTGTTTGAACAATGTTTTCGTATCAGGAGTCGGAGCTGTTGGGATCCATGACCCTTAAGATTAAGCAGACAGATCGTGAAATTGATGAAATAAAAGAAATGATAAAGTCAATAGAATAAAAAATGCCTTCAGATTTCTAGAATAAATGCAAAAATTATAAGCACCCATGTCAAATCAACGAATAAGTTCTAGAGAAAAAAATAACCATAACCTTAAATAAACCATTAATAAAGCTTACTTATGGTCAGTTGGAGCCTAGTAGCTGCATTCGAAACCTTCGCACGCACGCATCAAGTACAATGAGTGTCAATCAGTGATCGAGTTTGTCCAAACTGCCTTCTTGGAGAAGATCCACTTGTCCAAACTCTCACTGCCCCCCTGTCTCCGCGGCAAGTGGCCGGCCAAAGAATCCTGCAGCAGTTGGCCAGTTGCCGGCCGACCAATTTGCGGTGCTAATTACGTACAGTATGCGTCAGTAGTACCTTTTAAATCAGCCGACACACTCAACGCAGCCCTTAAATTAGGTTAAACGCTACTAGTATATATATATATATATATACATATAGGATGGAAAATACTACTCCCTCCGTATTGATAATTCAAGTCGTTTTGGACAGCGACGTGGTCTCCAAAACATAACTTTGACTTTTTATTTTTATAAAAATATTTATTGAAAAGTGATATATGTATATTTTTATGAAAATACTTTTCAAGATAAATCTATTCGTATAGTTTTCACAATTCTAAGCTCAACAACTTAAAAGTTATTCGTGATTTATATTCCCAATGTTTGACCCAAGCCTTGTCCAAAACGACTTGAATTACCAGTATGGATGGAGTACTTGAAAGGCGGTCCTAATTTCGTCGGATGATAGGTAGTATTAGGCTATTCAGCCTGTTTGGCTGGGGCTGAAACGATCGTATACGATCGTGAATTATTACTACTGGCTGGTTTGGTGTGAGAGAAAAATACTGTTCTGGCTGGAAATTTACGATCGTTTACGACCAAGCGAATAGGGCGATTAGATACCTTGCACTCTATCTAGGCTGGGTGGTTCGCACTAGTTTTTAAGTAGTATATGTTTACCGATTTACTCCTTTGCGGTCGCCTGAAATTTTGCAATTGCATCAGTTAGCCGCCTCCCCACGCGCCGCGCCCACGCAGCCACGCCAAAGACGACGAAGAAGATGGCGGTGGCGTTAGGGTTCTGGCGGCGGCAACGCCCTCTCTCTCTCCGACTTTCCCTCTCTTCTTCCCCAACTCCGATGGACTTAGAAGAGAAGGGCTCGGGGGAGGCAGGGCAGTCAGGCGGTGGGGGTGGCTTAGGGTCCTGGCGGCGGCGTAGGCGGCTGGGCTAGGTCGGAGCGGGGGCGTCCATGTTCGAAGCTCGCCACAGAAGAAGGAGGGGGAGGGGAAGAAGACGGCTACCGCGGACGCGCTAGGGTTTCTCCCGAGCTCCGTAGCCGAGGGTGAGGAGGAGGGCGCGGCCACCGGCAAGGCAGGTGGGGGTGGGCGCGAGGAGGAAGAAGGCACGGGTGGGGAGCGAGGAGGAGGCTGGCGGAGACGAGCTGGAGGTTGAAGATGACCGATGGAAAGCGAAAACTTCAGGCACCTGCCATGGAGACACACCCATATGTTTAATATGATGAATGGCCCTCTTGTCTAAGATAAAAATCTTTTTCTATTCACAAAAACGAAAACTAACAATCCTTTCTTTTACAACCCAGAAAGCAAGCGTCACAAACTATTTTGGGGGTCATGTGGTTTCGCAATTCTTGCTGCAAGAGAGTTTTTCTTTCCTTCTTTCTTTCTTTTTGGCGGGCTCGCTGAGTTCGTTATGGGAAGCTGACATGTATGCCATAAAATTGTCGGATGATTGCCTTTCTGTGATGTAACTGGTGCCATGTGACATGTGCGCGAGGTTGGCGACCAAATCAAATGGGGCACGCAGCACGCTCCTCTCGCATATCTCCTCATGGGCTTCCGGCTCTGTGTCTCCACCGTGCACACTGGAGGCCATCAGCCGCCAATGGGAAATGGAAGTGGAACTCCTCTCTTTTAGACGGGACTGCTCCTTTGTCTGACGTAATCCGTACAAAATTCAGAGAGGCCATAAGTCCATAACCATAAGACAACACTAGTCACTAGACGAACTAAAAACCTTCGCCCTCTTCGTTTGGGCTGATTTGGCTTATAAGGTTGGTTGATTTGGCGTAAAAGAAAAATACTGTTCGTTAGCTGATAAGCCATAGCTTATAAGCCAAATACGACCAAGCGAACAGACTGCTTATTAGCGATGCGTTACAGTGTCTGATCGTCATGAGCTCACTCAAGCAATGAAAATCAAGTCATAAATCGAAGATGAAGCCTAAGGCAGTTAAACACGATTATGCCTAGGAGTAAAAGGTTGTGCCAATTGAATTGCGGAAAGAGCTGAAACAATGTTGACATCGCATAAATATTCGATTGAGAAGTAAACATGGGGCAAAATGCAATCGAGACACTGATAACTACATCTTCTACAGTTCTACTAGAGGCACACTTTTACATTAGAGCATACACAATGGCGTAGTAATTTACTAGGAACCGTTTCTTTGTTTTTCTTTGTGGAGACGAGAACATCAGACACCTGATTCCTCCCCACGACAAAACCTGGAGAGTATTGGGGTGAAATGCAGTATGGCCTTGGACTAGTTGCAACCAACAAACAGATGTCTTAAGCCTTAGCTTGTACAGCCTGCATCCTCTGTTGCAACTTGAATATCTGAAAAGCAAAAGATAAGAAGACGAATCAGAGAAATGCCCTAAAGATACCAAATAATATTACTCGATTTAACCTAACCAAATCACGTTCAACACTTGCACACAAGTGTAATAACTGAACCTACTAAAAGAATATGCACCCAAAAAAAACTTTAATTGAAAAGTATGGCTCCTAAATCTTTGGACGTCCTACGACACCACCAGTAAAATATATGTATCCATAATACAAATTACACACTATTTTTCAGGTCTTCACATAAAAGAAACCAGCTGAAAAATTTTGGGCATGCAGTTCAATCCTATCATCCTGCCACATCCTCCAAAAGAAAAGCAGCAGCAGTAACTTCAGCAGTGTGGTTTGTGACCCTGGAAGCCAGTGCCAAAATCAGGGCAAGCAAAATAGTTTTTCGTTCATGAACAAACCAAAATTTAACTGTCCACAATTACGGCTTCCATTTTGGCCACTCAAGTTCTGCCCAACTTAGCTACAGAAAAATTTGACCAGACATATTTTAAGGGTCATGGCCAAATTTTGACCTCAAACTAATGGACGCCAACTTTTCTGGGCACAGCCAAAATTTGGCAGAAAACTTGGCTGGCTCACTAGGGTCACCAACCAAACTGAACAGCTACCGATCAAATTAGAGTAAAGGATCAAGCTATGGAATGTAATACAAGGCAAAAGCAGAAACCTAAAATGAGCCGGAGATGCTTTTGTCATCCTAAATGAAGTTTCTTGAGGATTCACTCTTCGAGCCACAACTAATGATCCTATTTCAATTCAATTATCCGATCCATGCAAGTTAACCAATACTAGATTAATCTCTTAAGAACTCTAGCTACAGTGGGCCTGATCGGCTGCACTCTTTCCGGCTGCAGCCGATCAGGTTGAGCGTATAGGCTATTAGGCTTGTCTGTGTATTTTACTCGTATGATTGGTCAGCACAATACATACAAACATATCATATTGCCTAAGAAGAATAGCAGATAAGTGCCTCGGTGCTGCAGCTTGCCAAAAGTTTATTATCTAGCAGGATGCAGCTCCCTCGGTTGCCAATAGCATACTGCTTAGGCAACTGCTAACCTAACATTGCTTTCAATAGTGGTTTCTCACAACTGAATCATTCTCCAGAGCCATAGTATCTGCTCCAAAGTCAAGGCAATAAATCTGACCAGCATGCTTATCAGTATTTCTGTACTTCAAGCTGTATTCTGAGATGAAGTCATCGCATGTTTTGTTTAGTCAAGGTGCTGCTGCTTCCTCTTCTTGCAAAGAGAATGGACTGAGCAGGAGATAGATGAAGCCATCGCACGGCTTATGTCTGGCAGCCCAATGTTGCTATTGGACAGATCTCAAGTTAAGACATAGGGAATCTCATTTGAATAAGCAAAGAATAAGGAACTATACATTCCTTTTTGTTCTATGCACAAATTAAGAAATTGTGAGTTCCTATAAGACAGCTCAAAACACACCTCATTGTACAGGTTGTCTGATAAGTAGACTCAATATTACATGGAGACCGCCTATAAGACAACACCAATGTTGCACATATGTTGCACAGATACAGAATGATACTTGGACACTGTCTAACACAAAAACAGAATGATTTTCGACCTCCTGTGTTGTGTGGCAGTCAAACCAAACTCATTGAACTTACCAGTTTTGCATGGCAAATGGAGATCTAATAAGCCCTAGCACTAGCATTTTATCATACTACAGCACTAGCACTACGCTATGTTATCCAGATCCTACCACAGTGAACTATTCTTTGCCAGACTTGTTTGTGTACATAGTTAATGTTTATCACAATTGTTGCACATCTAATTAAATACTCCCTCCGATAGTCCGATCCCAAATTTAAGTACATTTAACATTCTTCCAAATGCACCAGGAGTCCATGATAACTCTAGTGCACCTCCTAGCTTCATCTTCCATGTCTACCCCTACTTAAAATGCATACTAATCCATGCAACACACTTTCCACTTATCTTAACTATAGCAAAGATAGATGTGCAATATAGTCATTGTACCACTCAACTTAATTCTTATGCCCAAGGCCAACTGGACTCATAATGGGGATTTTAGGGACTACGGAGCATGCTTTAATTTCCACACTAAGGATACAACTGAAATGGCACTTGCAATTCTGATTCTAAAAAAGGGTAAACATCTGGAATGTTCTGGATAAACAGATATTCTAGTGGATCACAAAATCACACAGATGGCATATCATATCATGCTTCTCAGCTACTGAACTCGAATCAAATTCAAAAGATTTGCACAACAATTATTTGCAGATACCAAATTTTGTATAGCACCTCATAAAAGTTACAGTAAAGATAAAGGTGCAATAACATACCGATTCCTTCTTGCTGTTTTGCTTTTCCTCCAAGTCTTTGAGCGCCCGATCCATCCGCTTCCTGCAAAATAGCCAGTCCCACAAGCTCAGCACAACAACATGAAGGCACTGTGAGCTGATGAAACCACAAATGAGGCCAGCTGAAAGCGACTCACAGCTCTGCGGAGATGTACTCGATGCGCTTCTTGACGTTGGCCTTGGCCTCCGCGAGGTCCTGCTTGACCAGGACCGGTCCGATGAGCTTGTACACGTTGGCCCCGTCACCGAGCAGCTCCAGCTCCTGCAAGCAAGCAGCCACAGCCGCGAATCGAGTAAGCCACTCACGGCGAAGAAATCACCAAAACCTTGAGAGTTATTAAGAGGCGAGGAAGCTGCGCGGGGTGCGGTGCGTGCCTTGAGGACGAGCTCGTTCTCGCCGACCTGGATGGTGTACTGCTTGCGGACCTGGTGGTTCTTGGCGATGTCTGCGAAAGGAAGGAGCAGCGGAAGTCAGAGGAGAGAAAGGTAGATAGGGTTCGGAGGCGGCGGCGAGGGATTGGGGAGAGCGCGTGCCTTTCTGGATCTTGCTGAGGGCGTTGGCCTGCACCTCGAGATCCTTCTGCATCTCGCGGACGGCCGCCGGGGTCGACGACGACGCCATGGCCTGGCTGCTTCCTCCGCCGCCGCCGCAGCTCGCCGCCGGCTTCGGGTAGTGGGAGGGTCCGTAGGACGTAGATGCGGGTTTGGTGGGCTTTCTACGCCTATGTCTGTAACCATTGATTTCTTTACGTGGGCCGGGGTACGAATGGGCTTTCACGGGGCCAGAAAGGCAAGTGAGATTGCTTCTCGTGGGCTGCCACTCAGGAAGATTATTGGCCCGTGTGGATTTCATCTCGGCCCGCTACATATATCCTTTTGCAGTGAGGTCAGGATGGGTTCTCTCTGGGCTCCAAGTCTCAACTGAACGAATTCCCGAGAACGTTTCAAAAAACAAAAAAAATCCCGAGAAGATAAGATGTTGATTGCAGTTGACAGTTGTTGCAACACGAAATCGAATGGATTCCCATTCCCTCCCTTGATTGCTAAAAAAAGGTTGGTTGAAGGAAGTCGAACAAATGTTTTTCCGCCAATCGTTGAAGTGATTATAATAAACCAAAGTATATCGCCACTGTGCGAGGTCAGCCTAGGAAAGCTCCAAGTCGCAACTTGTAGGGCTCATCCCATATACGCAAAGGGATAGTAGGATCGGGATGAGTGGAGACGCAGCAGAATGCATGGTGCCCGCCGAACTTTGAGATGATTGGATTGGCCATGGCCATGAAGATGCAAACAAAAAGGCACCTTCTTTCCTCACGCTGTGTGTCTTTCAAGAATACCTTCCTTGCTTCCCCGCGTTCACCTCCCTTTTTCGAAGATAAATCCCCGGCATTTATTCATTCATTGTTTCAGCAGGGAAATGGGACGAATAATAATCCCAAAGGGCAGGCCAAAAAAATACCATATGCTGGCACACCGAGGGAGGGGAATGGACGTGCAGCCAAATACACGCAAACACGCCTGCACCGCATCGATGGCTTCCGTCCATTCGGTCGCAGCATGGCGATGCTACAGTTTTGCATGACCACCGCTAATTTCGGGAATCAAAATCGAAACCCCTTCTCAATTAAAAGTAGCGTTCACCACATCTTATGCTTCATTCCATCCTCCAGCTTTTTCTCCCCTCCCCTCAAAAAAATATGTGCAGCCGGCCGGCCGCCGTAGCTAGCTTCTCAGCCGAACGTAGCGATCTGGGCATGGGCGTACCCGGTGCAGCGTTGCGTGATCCCTCCTCGTCAAACCATGGCCATGCATGGGCATACACAACTAACTCACTTTTCGAGATAGTTCTTAGAAAGCTAATCGCAACTGTAGTATCTAACCAGCACAGGCAAAGGGAAGCTTTTGAACACTGACCTTTGGCACCAATGGAAGTTCCTCCATTTGGCCGAGACCATGGGGGACCAAACCGTCCTGTATGAATAAATAATAATTAGCACCAGCTTTTTTGTGGAGTACACGTACAAGCGTTCCTAAATTAAACAAGTAAACAAATCGCTAATCCAACTTCCAGACCAACAACTTCCAGACATCTACAATTGATCATTGAGCTTATGGACCCGATATGCCGCTGGCAGTACGTACGCTAAGCTGGCGCCATTGTTTCGTACCAACTCTCACAGCCGCACTCGTGAATTGTGATCCTCGCGGCGCCACCTGAAGGCTCCGTGGACCTCCACTTGTCCATTGCTGCCTGCCTGCCTGCCTTCTCCTCTTTGGCCTTTGGGCGAATCCAAATCAGGAGAAGAGCCGCCGAGCCGCACCCGCACCTGCACCTGCAACATCAACTGCAACGATGAGATATGGCCGGTGGGGGTCGTTTTCAAGGGGGCTCCCCCACCAGAAGATATGGCATAATCCCCTCGTACTCCTAGAGTTGCCGACCCACTCACGGGCTCACGGCCACGGGCTAACTGCATGCAAGTTTACCATTGGTCAACCTCCAGATCATCCTTCTCCAGCATATATATAAAATGCTTTCAGTCACATCTAGCACCTACTCCTAACTCCACATCCTGAGGAAAGATGGATCTCATCGCTTCAACTTATCAGCCGGCTTATCAACTAGAATCTACAGTATTTTTCTCTCACAACAAATCAGCATCAGACGACTTATCAACCGACTTTAATACCAGCCGAACATACCTATAGCATCAATGGCGAAATGACAACAGGTTTATGGAGTTCGGCAAAGTTAACCTATGCCGACTAAGATGGGAGACCCTCCAATTTGGTGTGCACTGTGCAGTAAACTGAGGCACATCATCAGCTAAGGATCCCTATTGGCCTATTAGGCCTTTAAAGTCCACCACTTGCTGGCTCTAACTTCCGATGCGGGGCCCTTCAGTACTACTCAATCCATTCTAAATTATAAAACGTTTTGGTTTTTCTAGATTCATGACATTTGCTACGCACCTAGATATACATTGTGTCTAGATGCATAGTGAAAAGCAATGTATCTAAAAAAGTCAAAATATCTTATAATTTGGAACGGAGGGAGTACATGTGATACATAAGCGATGAGGTTGGCTCAGACAGTAACATGTTTGAAATGCCGTCCACAATGTGATCATTTTATAACCACAGAAAAATAAGCATCGCCGTAGCCTTCCTGGCCACAGGAAAAAGAGTAAACGAATCCACGTACCTGTGGGGGAACTTATCGCTGAAATTAAGCCCTCCATTTCATTTATACCGTGCTCCCGAAATATTCATCCACATCGGTTCGTTTTTCTGCGTTGTCACCTTTGCGAATTCCGCTTCATCTGCTTGAAGAACCTGTACTTTGAATGGGACCTGTTGGGCATGGAACCGCAGTTACTAATAAACCAACCATGATCGGTGCCCATCCATCGTGAATTGACGTGTGACAGTTCATGTGTTGACAAAGACAGAAGAGTTATATACAAGTTACAACTCGTAGCCAGAACTTTAGCATCGCAAGATATGCAAATATGCGGCTCTTCGAACCTTGCAATTTCTGTCAAACAATGAAAATACTCCCTACCCCCAGAAATATAAGGTGTGTTCTGACTGTCTAAATGTGACCTTCGACCAGAGATTTCTCTTATGGAGTAATACTTTAATCACAATTGTAAGAAAGTACTCTTGAAAATGAATCCAATGATATCAGTTTCATGTCAAATAACTCATATATTCTTATATTAATTTTTGATCAAACTCGAATTTAGATAGTCCAAATATACGCCTTATAGGAAAAATGTTGCAGAATAGCAGGAGGTACAATTACTAGAAGCCACTGCGAATATTCATCGTATTAAAAATATATCAAATATAATGGTCTTCAAATAGAATCATGATACCATAAAGGGAACATAAAAATTGTACCTTTATGGGCAAACAAACAATTCCAGAATGCTGATGATGGGACAACAGTGCCCTGAGAGCATATCATATATAACAACAACAACAATCTCAAATAAGTTAGGGTAGGCTAGAGTTAAAACTCAGCAGAAGCAATCCAGTTTCAGGCACGTGAATAGTTATTTTCCATGCATTCCTATCTAAGACTAAGTCTTTGGGTATATTTCATCCTTTCAAGTCTCCTTTTATTGCCTCTACCCAAGTCAACTTCGGTTTTCCTCTGTCTCTCTTCACGTTATTATCCTGACTTAGGATTCCACTACGCACCGGTGCCTCTGGAGGTCTCCGTTGGACATATCCAAACCATCTCAACCGGTGTTGGACAAGCTTTTCTTCAATTGGTGCTACCCATAATCTATCACGTATATCATCGTTCCGAACTCGATCCCTTCTTGTATGACCGTAAATCCAACGCAACATACGCATTTCTGCGACACTTATCTGTTGAACATGTTGTCTTTTCGTAGGTCAACATTCTGCACCATACAACATAGCAGGTCTAATCGTCATCCTATAAAACTTGCATTTTAGCTTCTGTGGTACCCTTTTGTCACATAGGACTACAGATGCTTGGCGCTAATTCATCCACCCTGCTTTGATTTTATGACTAACATCTTCATCAATATCCTCGTCTATCTATAGCATTGATCCTAAATATCGAAAGATATCCTTCCTTGGCACTACTTGACCTTCCAAACTAATATCTTCCTCCTTCCGAGTAGTAGTGCCGAAGTCACATCTCATATACTTAGTTTTAGTTCTACTGAGTCTAAAACCTTTGAACTCCAAAGTCTTCCGCCATAACTCAAGTTTCTGATTCATTCCTGTCCGACTTTCATCAACTAGCACTACATCATCCGCGAAAAGCATACACCAAGGGATGTCCCCTTGCGACCTCATCCATTAGTAAGGCAAATAGATAAGGGCTCCAAGCTGATCCTTGATGTAGTCCTATTCTAATCAGAAAGTTATCCGTGTCTCCATCACTTGTTAGAACACTAGTCACAACATTGTTGTACATGTCCTTAATGAGCCCAACGTACTTCGTTGGGACTTTATGTTTGTCCAAAGCCCACCACATAACATTCCTTGGTATTTTATCATAAGCTTTCTCAAAGTTAATAAAAACCATATGTAGATCCTTCTTCTTCTCCTATATCGCTCCATAACTTGTCTTATTAAGAAAATGGCTTTCATGGTTGACCTTCCGGGCATGAAACCAAATTGGTTCATAGAGACCCGTGTTATTGCTCTCAAACGACTGTCGATAACTCTCTCCCATAGTTTCATAGTATGGCTCATCAACTTAATTCCTCGGTAATTAGTACAACTTTGAATATCCCTTTATTCTTGTAGATCGGTACCAATATACTTCTCCTCCACTCGTCAGGCATCTTGTTCGATCGAAAAATATGGTTGAACAACTTGGTTAGCCATACTATAGCTATATCTCCGAGGCATTTCCACGCCTCGATTGGGATACCATCCGGTCCCATCATCTTACCTCCTTTCATTATTTTCAACGCCTCTCTGACATTAGATTCTTGGATTCTCCGCACAAAGCGCACTATTGGTGTCATCAAAAGAGTCATCTAACTGAAAGGTTGTGTCCATATTCTCACCATTGAATAATTTATCAAAATACTCTTGTCATCGATGTCGGATCTCATCCTCCTTCACCAAGAGATGCACCTTTTCGTCCTTAATGCACTTAACTTGGTTGAAGTCACTTGTCTTTCTCTCACAAACCCTAGCCATCCTATAAATTGCCTTCTCTCCTTTCTTCGTACTCAAATGTTGGTAAAGATCCTCAAACGCTCTACCCTTTGCCACACTTACAGCTCGCTTTGCAGTCTTCTTTGCCATCTTGTACTTTTCTATGTTGTCCACACTCCTGTCATGGTACAAGCGTCCATAGCATTCTTTCTTCTCCTTAATAGCCCTTTAGACTTCCTTGTTCCACCACCAAGTATCTTTAGCCTCGCCTCCAGTTCCTTTGGTTACTCCACACACCTCTGAGCCCACCTTTCGAATGTTGGTTGCCATCTTCTTCCATATGTTGTTTATGTCATTTTCTTCCTTCCAAGAGCCCTCTTTGATAACCATTTCCCTGAATACATCTGACGTCTGCCCTTTCAGTTTTCACCACTTTATTCTTTCAATCTTAGCTTATTTATCCCTACGGGCACGCACCTGAAAATGAAAGTCTGCCACTAAAAACTTATGTTGAGAAACAACACACTCCCCTGGTATCACCTTGCAACCCAAGTATGCTCGTTTGTCCTTTCTTCTTGCGAGAACAAAATCAATCTGTTGTCCGCTATTGAAGGTCACTAGATGAGATTCTCTCTTTCTAAAGAAAGTGTTGGCTATCATCAGGTCAAAAACTACCGCGAAGTCTAGAACTTCCTCCCCCTCCTGATTCCTACTACCATACCCAAAACCTCCATGAACTGCCTCGAAACCTACGCTTGTAGTACCTACATGCCCATTAAGATCTCCTCCTATAAAAAGCTTCTCACTACTAGGTACATCTCTAATAAGACCATCTAAGTCTTCCCAGAACTGTCTCTTAGCACTCTCGTCGAGGCCTACTTGGGGGCATACGCACTAATTATGTTCAAGACCATATCACCAACGACAAGCTTGACTAAGATAATCCTATGTCCTTGCCTTCTCACTCTCACCACACCATTCTTGAGGCTCTTATCAATCAAAACTCCTACTCCATTTCTATTCGTGACTCTCCCTGTGTACCAAAGCTTGAAACCTGCATTGTCCACATCCTTCGCCTTCTGACCCTTCCATTTAGTCTCTTGAACGCATAATATATTTACACATCTCCTAGTCGCGGTATCAACTAATTCTCTTAACTTACCTGTAAGCGACCCTACATTTCAACTACCTAAATGGATCCTAGTTGGTTTGACTAGCTTCCTTACCCTTCGCACCCGTCGACTCAGATGTGAAGACCTTTGCTCATTTTTCACTACACCCGGGCGCCGATGTAGCGCGCCACTAAGGAAGCGACGACCCGATCCTTGCTCACTTGACACCATGCATAGATCGCGACACGGCGCGTCACCAAGGGGGTGCTGACCCGGCTCTTGTCCATTTAACACCATACACGGGCTCCGATATGGCGCGTCGCTAAGAGGGTTACGCCCCAACGATTTTCTTTCGGGTTTCATCTCCATTAGAATGACTAGATTTAACGTTGGCTCGCCACGCCTATCACAACCCTCCTCTTTTACCAGGGCTTGAGAACTGCTATGTTGGCGGAGTTCCTAGTAAGCTACAAAA